TGGATTAGAACTGAGTATAAGAGAAAGGAGGAAATGGTTTTCATTTTGTCTCTTGAGCATCAGGCATTCCATTTCCTATTTCTAGAGCCAAATGATCATTTTTGTCCTGAAACTCTACCTGTAACTTGGTGCCCACTTCTGAGTCTCCAGTACATTCAGATCAGCTTCCAGGTCAAGCATAGTTGGTAGAATAATGGTACATTGGTAAATTGTCTTCTCCAATATCCACGCTTACTCTTAAATTTTCAGAGTCCTCAATCATCCACTGGGTATTTTGTGCACAGAGTTTACAAATAGGAAAAAAGAGGATGCAGTGTGTTAATGTCATCTTTTCCAGAAGCATAACCCTTATCTCTGCTTCTTTAGGATAAATGTCATGTAATAGATAGTATATTTTTGTTTCTCTATTTGATTTTTCAAAGGGAATTTCACTCAAACATTTCTTTGATGATGGTAATGATTAAAATTAGTACTAGCATGTTTTTACATATATTATCTTATGTGACTTTATAGTAGCCCATCTGTAAGGAAGGTTAGCTTATAACCCAGAATTTATAAATAATTGGCTTGTATTTAAACGTAAGATTTTCCTTAGGTGGTTTTAGTAAGTTATTCTGAAAAGCAAAATATTTATGCTTATTTATAATTAAGTTTTAGGAATTTTTCCCTTCTTCTTTCTTTTTTCCAATTCTTTAATCTTCCCTGACATTTCTACTTACAAGACACAGCAAAATTTAATTTGATAACTGCAGAACAACGTCAGGGTAACTGCAATGTTATTGACTATCCTTTTTTTTTAAATTCTACAAAGTCTGCTTGAGAAATGCAGATCACATAGTTTAGTCATTCAGGTTTATCTAAACTTACAGGCTACTGAACATTGGTGAGGTAAAAACAGTTTAAATTAATATCAGTTCCTGTCACACAAGACAAAATTCAATATTTCATCAAATGGTGAGAACTTCACAGCAGGATATGCCAGATAGGATTTCTCATGATCCTTTGTCTTAGGTACTCTGATTAGAAAGATAAATCCAAAAACCATTGCTAGCAATATATAAGCTAACCATTTAATTTTGAAAATAAATTATGTGTTGAATGAATTCCTTTGTTTTGTTTTAGCAGTATGTGTGTGTATGTGTGTGTGCGTGTGTGTGTCTACTTTCCAATTGCATTGGAATCAAAACCCAAGATTTAAATTTTCTGAGGACAGTAAAATATCAGGAAAATTGTATTACAAGTATGTAGTTTACTAGTATTAGTGATATTTAATGACTGTACCTATATTGAATGTGCCTTTATTTCATGCTTTCCTATAAAATTACTTCACCCTTTATAATTTGTATCACATATTTTATTATTTAAAATAGCTACTTAAAGTTTCTTAAATCCAGGGCCCCTTAGTGGTGCAAAGATTAAATTTTCAGTGCAATCAAGCTATTGCTAGGCACTACAGAATGAGTCTGATCCTTGGCCGGAAGCTCACCCACATAGCTTAGCAGACCCCTCTTGTCTCACTTCCTGCTCCCCTTAGCAGGGTATTTCAGCAGATCTGCCTGTTTTTCTTTCACTCTGTGTCTAGTAAATCCTCTTATGCTCCTGGACCTCTGACCTACACCCCAATTTGTGTATATATAAATAAGTCCCTTCTTGAAATTTTCTCAAATCAAAAGCATTTTAAAATGAAAACTCAGCTTTTTAATTGTATTGTAACTTAGATTGTTTTATGTGTAATTTAAACACTTTTATATTTTATGAACCTATCATTAACAAATTATATGGTATTCTTCTGGAATTCTTGCTACTTTTTTAATATGTATAGTAGATACCTAGATACATAGCAACAGAAAAAAATTCACAATTTTTTTTTTTTTTTTTTACAAATAAGGCTTGTTTGTAATTTGATTAAATATCTCCATCAGGCCCTCCCTGGTGGCGCAGCGGGTTAAAGCACAGCACTGAGAGGCTAAGGCCACTTCTGCATGAGTTCGATTCCCGCCTGCCCAGGGGTGACCACATGGTGTGGCAGACCTCTCCTGACCCGCCCGTTGCTCCCCTCAGCAGTGTACTTTGTCGATCTGCCTGTTCTGCTCCCTCTCTGGTGAAGCCTCTCACCGCCCCTGAGCCTCTGGCCTGTACCCCAATTCTGTATGCACAAAAATAAATAAATCTTTAAAAAAAAAACTCTATCATCTGGCCCTCCCTGGTGCCGCAGCAGGTTAAAGCATAGCGCAAAGAAGCTTAAGCTACTTCCTCATGAGTTCGATCCCCACCTGCCCCGGAGGTGACCACATGGCACGACAGACCTCTCCTGACCAGCCCGCTGCTCCCCTCAGCAGTGTCCTTCGTCGATCTGCCCGTTCTGCTCCCCACTCTGTCCCTGGTGAATCCTCTCACCCTCCACATCTCTGGCCTGTATCCCAGTTCTGTACGAATAAATATATCTTTAAAAAAAAAAAAAGAAGCTAAAGCCACTTCTGCATGAGTTCGATCCCAGCCTGCCCCGGAGGTGAGCACATGGCGTTGCAGACCTCTCCTGACCCGCCCGCTGTTCCCCTCAGCAGTGTACTAATTCGATCTGCCTGTTCTGCTCCCCACTTTGCCTCTGGTGAAGACTCTCACCGCCCCTGAGCCTCTGGCCTGTACCCCAGTTCTGTATGTACAAATAAATAAATCTTAAAAAAAAAAAAACTCCATCAAATTAAATGATTACAAATTTAATAAAGTGTAAGCTTTTATTAAACAGTTAATTGAGCAGATCAGTTTACCTCCATTACCTCAGGATATTTCATCAAAATGAGTAAGAGGATATAGAAATTTTATAATAACAAGGATCAAGTAATGAGCATACAGAGAAGAAAATATGTCAGTAGAGAAGGGTCAATATGTCAACAAAATTACAGAGAAAGAAAATCAAATGGAACAGTGACAGTTCATTTAGCATTGAACCTGCTATGACTGCCTGCAGGGAGAAAAGCTGATTTCACTTTCTGCTGTTCTTTGTGTATATACATAGGTGTAGAATTCTTATAACAGAAGATATGCTTATATTCATCCATACAAATACTGCTAATAATTCCTCAAAACTATAGTACCAATTTAAATTCCTCCAGTAATGTATGAGAGTTCATATTGTTCCATATGCTCACCAACATTAAGTTTTGTATGTCTTTTTTTTTCCTTACTAGTACATAATGATAGTATTGCTCTGTACTTTAGAATAAACTCTTAAATATGTCTCTGAGGAACTAGGTATAGTAGATAAGACAAGAACATTATAAAAGAGAGAGAAATGTGAAGATAATTACAATTCAGAGCTTTTAAAGTAGCCTGATTTTTACTTACAAGATATAGTAAATCTAAAATTCCATGCAGTACATATGAAAAGATCATTTTAATATCTGACACCAGATTATAAAGGATACATTCCCTGTGAGAAAATAAAGAAGAAAAGCCTTACAGTTGTCTCAACTTATTGTCTTGACAGAGTTATCAGGCCATCAGACAGGGAGGAAGGGACCATGACAGAATCTGATTGACATCTCCCTGGATTGAGAAAACATGTCTAAGAGTCCAGGTAGATCAAGACAGTTTCACAAGACAGTGTGAAAGAGGACAATGCTTTGCTAAAAGGGAACTTACCAAAAGGTACAGAGGTTCTCCTTAAGTTTTGCTAATGAGCAAATAAACCAACAGAATGGCTTAAATGTCATCATTAATATCAATTAATTATTCTAAAGAAGGCAAAAAAAGACAATAAGCAAATTAGATACAGGACAAATAAAAAACAAATAACAAAAACTTAAAACTAACCATATCAGTAGTTACATTAACTGTAAATAGACTAAATATCTTAATGCAAAGGCAGAGATTGTCAGATTGCATTTGAAAATAAAGGAAAAAATTCACACCAAGGCATGTATGGCTTACAGGAAACACACATGGTGAACAAAACTAGATGAAAATATTTGTTATCTCTGTTTTAATGATTATAGCCTTTAAAGCATAAATATGTGTACATATGTGTGTGTGTGTATAGGTATATATATGTGTATATGTATATATAGGTGTGTATGTATATATATATATAGGTGTTTGTGTGTGTATATAATATGTTGCAATTTATGAAAGTACCATTTGAAGAGGAAAAGTGGAAGGAAAGGCTAGAAATAAACCAATTTTTAAAAAAATTTGTTTTGAAATGTTCATAGATGTTTGCTCACTTGATTCATTTATATAAGCATAAACTTATTTAAATAAAGAGATTATTTTTAAAAATTATTATATAAATTGAAGGCCTAACCTGAAGATCTGTGTCTGAATAGCTTTTCTTAAGAGAAAAAGTCAGAAACCACTGTACAGATAATCTTTAACTTTTCAGTTATATTCTATACAGTATAGGCATATATTGGAGATATTCTTATCTTGGGTGGTTTGTTATTTTAAAATAAAGTTTACATTCTATAAGAAGAAATAAAGAAGTGGTAGAAAAATGGTGGCTGGATAAGAAAGTAATTATTATAAGGCATAAGATATAAATACTTATATCATTATTTTACATAAATACAAACACATAAAGCCTAGTTACTAACAATGTATAGTAGGCTAATTTTTCTTACAGTATTCTATTAATGGTAATATCATGTTAGCCATCATGGATTAATTGTTTTTTTAGTTATTCAGTTTTTCAAGCATTATTATGTCATTCATATTATATTAATATAAAGATAGTAAGATCCATGTGTCCCTGTGACATTTATGAGTATTTAAGTGATAGATGTGACAAAATATTTATGGTCTCATATGATTCAGGCTAAAAGAGGTGTAAATGTCGTATTTCACTAGTGTATGCTCTGTAAGAGAATGTTAAACACATTGATTATTCTGTTATACCTGATATTGAACTCTAAGACCCCCAAATGTATATCAATTGAAAATATACTGTACATTCATATATAAACAATAGCGATAATAACAAATTTTCTTTCCTGTTTTTACAGCTTGTAGGCCAGGATTCTATAAAGCATTTGCGGGGAACACAAAGTGTTCAAAATGCCCTCCACACAGTTTAACCTACAAAGAAGCGACTTCTGTCTGTCAGTGTGAAAAGGGCTATTTCAGAGCTGAAAAAGACCCACCATCGATGGCATGTACCAGTAAGTCTGTACATTTTGAATTTGAAAAGCTATCTTCAAGCCTTTTTATATCTATTACAGGTTTTCTTTTATTTAAGTTTCATATACAAAATCCTGTACCATCAATACCTTTTGTTCTGGATAGCAATCAAAGGAAAAGGTTCTCTTTATTCTCATCAAATTTGATTTTCAATAACTTAAAAGGAATGTGATCATTCCTCAAAATTACATTGATCCTTACCATGTAAATACTGGCATTAGTTTGAGACCCTGCAAGTTTTCCAAAATAGAATCTGTCCTTCAGAAGTTAATGCAGTTTAAGACTACTTGAGAATTTGTAAGCAAAACTTTTGTTGTTTGTTTTCAATGTTTGACCTCATCAGTATAAAGACCATCAATTTTTCTGTATGGCTGGAACTTCAAGATCCATTTTTAAAAGTGTATGAGCTGTTGTTATTCAGAAAAGTTATAATTTTCTTGACTTTAAAGGAAAGGTTGTATTAAAGAAAAGCATTTTAGAGTTTGTCCACATTTTACTTCTCATTTTCTCTCTAATTTTTGGGTTTGAACCAATAGAATATTAAATCTATCAAGGTTGTTTTAATGTGTACATTTTCAGTAACTACTTTTTGGATTATGAAAGTATTATGAAATCTATGTACATTCTTAAAGTAAAAATGAATATATTAAACCGTTGTTAAGCAATGCAAAAGTAAAATGTCATATCTTGGGTAGTTAAGAAAGCCTTGCTGGTTATTTAAATAAGATACTATAGTGAAAGTTTTTTCTTTCCTTTTTTTTTTTGATGAAATGATGCCAAAATGTTGCTTGTCTCCTCTAATTCTATAGAAGCATAATTTGATCAGAAATTATGTAATGTCATATTCCTTGAAGCCAGTGATACCGGTATTACTTATTTTAAATTTAATGGATACAGAGTATTGATGTGTGGCCTGTCTGAGCACCTGTGTGTGTGTAGTGATTTGGAAAAGGCATTCCTGCACCACTGCCCTAAGGTAATGGCCCACATCAGGAGGCAGCTGGCGATACCAAGGTAGCCACTGGCTGATCGTGTACCTTGGTCTAAGGAGTCTGGGAGAAGCTCAGAAATTACAAGTTCCTACACAAGACGTCCTCCCTGCATATGAGGTTGACATGTCCCCTCCAGTTCCCTATAAATTTGATTACCCTTTGTCTTCACTAGACCCCACTGCTCCTGCTCATTGTCACACAATCAATCATGCTTGTTTATTGCTGCTAATAAATAAAACAGGGCTGCTCACTGGGCAGCAGTCTTGTCTTGCAGACCTTCTCCGTGACTTGTCCTTCATTGTGTCCCTGGGGATGTCATGGGCATTTCTTAATCAGCATAGATGTGTCTACATTACTACAGATTTTAATATAAATCATTTTAGGGTACACATTTAATAGAAATGGAACACATTCCTTGCCAAATGTAGTTTTTGCTTTCTTGTTGTAAATACTTAGTGTCTACTTTCTTTGAAAATTGCAACCTGGAAAGTTACTACCTAGGTATCCCTTCCTCCTCGGCTCCAGCCCCCAGAACATATTTTAAGTTCACAAATGGAGAAAGGGTAATTCAAAATACAATTTTTCACCCAGCTATATAAATAGTTTTCAGCTATTTATAATTGCCCTTAATATGCAAATGTAATGCTTCTTGAACAGTTGTTATGTATTGTTGTGTTGTGGACAATATAATCCAGCATAGGTAGATTGAGCTATTTTAAATGGCTACACTCCTGCCCGACAAGTATTTCTAAAACAAAAATAATAATAATAAACAGCGCTCTGTAGATAAGTAGTGGAAAATTTCCTATTCTTATTTTCCTAGAAAACCATAAGTATTGATAAGTTGAAATAAATTGATTCCCATGAATGTAATTATTTAGTGAGATAGCAGAGTAGGTTATTGGAAAGACTCACAGATTTGGTGTGAGGATAGTTAAGGAAATAAGTGTGGAATATAACAAGCTAGGTTCTTATTGTTGAATGAGAAATGTGTAATTACCAGATCTGCATTTTCTGTTTCTTATAACTTCTTTCCTTATTTTTTGTCTTGGCATAGGAAAGAATAATTTACTCTACCCTTATATATTATTCATTGAATTCCTGTAAATAAAGGCTAGATTAAAAGGAGAAAAAAATAATTCATTCACATGGGACCTTCACAAAGAGATTCAACAAGATGACCAAAGTAGGCTGCTTTTATGTATTTTATAAAAAAGAAGCATCAAATCTGTGAAGTGACAGAACAAAGATTTTTAAGATTTCGACATTAATATAGTGAGCTGAGCAGAACTTACACAGGCTAAACAGGCCTAAAGATTCTTGTCTGTGCCAATAAAGATGTCTCTTTCCCCCCTGTACAGGGAGGGCACCCTCCTCATGGGGAATTTATTTCCTGTTTTTAGGGAAAAACAGTTAGAGAGTTAGAGTATTATTCCATCATTAGAGAGTTAGAGTATTATTCCATCATTGTCTATTTCTCAAGCAACTTTAAATTCAACACAATAAAGATGTCACTTTGACACCTTTTGGGGCTCTGCGCTCTGAGCCCGAATATTGGTATTGTAAATTATGTCTACAAATGTAGAAACAAACAACAGCTTAATTCTGGTCAGTGGAAAGTGTTAGGCTAGTATCAATTTGCCACGGTGTCACCAGAGATTAAAAGAGAAAATCTCCAAAGAAAAATTAAAGCTTTCTTCAGCTCTTCTGCAGCCACAAAAGACCCCACAGAAGGCCTCTTTCTGTTAATTCCATTACACTTATTTGCTTTGCTGTAATATAACAAAGTATATTAATTAGTTCACTATTATTTGAAGGACCTCTTGGTTCTTCTCTGTTTTCATGATCATGTGTAAACTGTTATATCCACACATGTTGCAGGTGTTTGTATGGATATCAGTTTTCAATTACATTGTATAAAATTTTCCCCATGTTCCATTTTGCTTTTGTGGCTTTCCACATATTCTCATTTTCATGACCTCATTATTACCTGTAAATATATAATCTTCATAGTCATCTGACTACAACCTTTAACAACCTGCACTTGCCATGGGAACCTTTCCACTTCTCTGACCTCATTTCATGTAATACTTTTCCTTTGTTGGTAAACTTCTGGGCTTCAAGATGCTGAATTTATTTTCATCCTAGTTGTCAACAGATTCCTCTACTTGAAATTCTCTCCTTCTAGGTCTTCTCATTGCTATTTCCTTCTTGCCATTCAATCTCAAAAGTCAGCTCTTAGGACACATATTTCCTGAATATTCATTCAAAAGCAGAATACCATTCAATTATTCTTTAATCTGATGTTTTATTTTTATGGGTTATATCACTTTTTGAATGTATCATATTTATCTATACGCTCATGTTCTTATGTGTAATTATTTTACTACAGTAGATGACAAGGGCCTTAGGATCATGTATTTTCTTTCTATAGTGTATCTCCAACACTAATAAAAGTATCTAGCAGATGGCAAGCACTAAATAAATATTTGATGAACAAATAAACTAATAATTTCAAATTCCATCTTCAAAAATGACTTTCATTGCTTTGTACCTTATCCTGCTCAACCACCCCAACTTGTTTCCTTATCTTGGAAACCCTCATTTACCCACGCCTGCAATCCAGATAGCTTAGGGTCATGATCCCTGCCTGAGATCTCAGCATATCCAAGTAGCCACAAGTCTTAGGAGTTCCACCTCTTGGTATTTCTCCTACTCATTCTTCCCTGTCAATCCTGTCCCTTCTTTAGTTAAGGCCCACCATTTCCTCTTGGGTTAATTAAATGATATTCTGGCAAGTCTCCTTCATTAGTCTTCTGTCCCTCCACATATTCCAAAGAATTAGTATTATTTTAAGCCAAAACAAACTTCTATTATATTGTCACATGTTCTTAACTCTTTCAAAGTCTAACACCTGTTAGTCAAAACTGTAAGAGTGAATCCAAGGACATCCAACATCCAGTGCTGCCCTATCTCTCCCTTTCCAATTTTAACTGTTTAGGATCGCTCAAATAGCCCAAATACCCTTTTACATGACTTAGGAGTTTAGGTCATCTTTATTTATAAAAAGTCATTGTATCTTCTTACATTAACTGCAAAATATATAAAAGAAATCACAAGTAATAAGTCTAAAATGCTGAAATAGTTTCTCTCACAACTTAGTCTACTTCATAAACTCAACTTTTTCTCTCAGGTGACTCATTAATTTGCTTTCTGTCTGCTTTAAAAAATGAGCTGGAAGGAATACTTCCAATATCGGGTCTTGGTCAACTAGGGCTGCATCACAGAGCAGTTCAGAGTGCAGGATACCATGCTGCCTGCCAAAAAGCCTATTAAAGTAACTAAGGCTTTTCCAAGTCAGGAGAAAAATATAGTCAGTAACATTGCAGAAACAATGTAAGAAAATAAAAGTTACTGAGAAAGTAGGAAAGTTAGAAATGTTCAAGAGAAATGAAGGTCTAATAAATGAATGTATGAGATGTTAGACATAGTGTAATTCCACAACATTTTTTACTTTGATGTTTTTCATGTGTTTAAATAGGTTTTTTTTAAAAAATAAAGATAATGTTTAGTAGCTAAATATTAACATATTTAACAAACATTTGTGTCACTTAGAAGAGTTTAAAAATGCTATGTAAATAATATATGTGAATAAGCCACATTATTAAAGAGTTCATATTTTTTGTCACCTAAATATGTAATCAATGACATGTTTTGTGAGGTAAAATAGATTCTTCCAACTTTTCTCTTAAATCCCAGGCAAAAATCATGGATTTGTCTATGTGCATCTAACATACAGTAACAGCAATTGGAAAAAGAAATGTTGCTCTAAAGCTAATTTTGTAAAATATGGCTTCGTTATTGCTGGAATAATTCACAACTTGGAAAGTCTTTACTTAGAGAAGAACAGATAGTTTATTGGGATCAGCAGGAAGGTGTTCTTCCTTGATTCACCCACCCTACTTGTGCCCCCATTCCTTCTTGGTGGC